ACTGAACGGGTCCGCAATCGCGTTGAAGTAGCAGCCAGATGTGAGGTTGTATGGAAAAATCCGCTCTGAGTGGGACAGAGTTGCCGCAGGAGGTGCCATTTCGCGACTAAAAATTGTGCAGCAAAGGCGCTAAGGTCTCAAAAAGTGAGCTAATGAAAGCAATTATGAGCTAATGGACGAGATACCTCGCGCCCCTAGGTTGCAACGTGGATTGCGGCGTGACGGATAAGGACGGCCTGTGGATAAATACCGAATCCCATTGATGCGCTCCCTCTGAACAGCCGTTTAGACACGCTTGTCCCTCGCCATCATTATTCAGCCACTGTTACCCCGCCAGCTTGATACCGGGTTATCCTTCGAGGGGAACGTATCATTCATGAGCCTCAAAAGCCTGGTTAGAGCACCTTAGGTACGTGAGTCACCACCGTGAGCCTGAAAGGATGTGCCCGTGACTCCACCCTTTGCCCAGACTCCAGTTTAAGATTGACGATGCGACTAACCTCTGCGCCTCCTTCGTCCCTATGTCTCTTCTGCTGTCCATGTCCCATATGCTTCCCGTTGATTCCTATCTTTGAGCCCCACAGCGCTTGAAGGAAGAGGTACCTTATTTAGGATGTTGTCGGGGGACAGCGAGATTCTGATCATGTCTTCAATTGACCAGAAGAGCGGCAGTAGTTCCGGTAGGATAAGCGTGATAACAAAAACTGTAATCAACGCCCAAGTTTGTGTACGAACAAGCTCGAATTCCTTACAAGAAAATCGGAGATCAACAGCTTTTGACGATCTGTATGAAGAGAGCGGTCTTTTCTCTGATGTTGAGATCACCTGGGTGAGCAAACAGCGCTGTCCTCGTTCAGCCCTAGGACTTGAAGGTCCCACCGATCGCTTTCCGGGTGCGTATCTGTTGTGTATCCTGTTCTGGTTTTCCCTCCTTTTTCGTAAAAATGACGCACGTTCTCAAGTGCATTCTGAGCACGATTTTAGGGCGTCTTTATCTAAGAGGTCTTCCCTGGACGTGTTGTCCAGTATTGGATTGCGTGTAGACCTGCGCCTGCCGCATTTTAGAGCGAAACTCCACTTAGTTGCTACTGTTGTTAACAGATTTAATTGTATGGCAATCCTAACTACATAGCTTCCCTTTCCGAACGTATGAGAAGGAATTCCTTTACCCCGTGAGGTAGTACATTCGCACGCTTCACACCCAAGGGCTTATGGTTAGTTCGCTTCCGGCCGCTGTTGCATTTTTGGCAAGCAAAGTCGTGCTGAAAAAGGTTACCTGTTCTGGCAACTAGCCAGAACTGGTAACCCTTTTCAGCAAGACTTCGTTTGCCAAAATTCATTACCTCCTTGCTCTATCAAAGTGTGAGAAAGCCCGTTCTGCTTTAGGCTTCGTTGAACCACATCGTTCTTAGGGCGTCTTCATTCGAAATCGGCTTTTGGCACATAAGCCCTCACTTTTTTTGTGTTGCGCCCCAGCGTCAACGCTGTTTCGGCTTAGGGATATACCATTAGTTTGTTGACTTTGTAGATTTCCCGTCAACCAAATCCGCACTGACTTGCTGTTGCAGGTTACCGAATCGGAAACGGTGGTAATCGAGGGGGTACACTACGTGAAAAAGCGGAAACTTGGCACTGGTGGCAGTGGATCCGTATGTTTCTTCGCAGCCTTTCTCGGTTCACATTATTTTCGGTATTTCCCAGTTTATTTCAGGTGTACGAGGTCACAAGAGAGGACAGTGGAGCACGATATGCATTAAAAGAAGTGACTCTGCGCCAGAATGCCAGCATCTTTCGCGGAGAGGTCGAACGTCTGCAAACACTCAGAATGTCCCACATCATCGATTTTGATCGCACAGTTCGTTGCTTTTTGATTGTTCTCGATTTCGCCATGGTAACACTGAGCGCGGAATTTATGGTATGCGTGCGTGCATTGGCGGTGCGGCTCACGTAGTAATTCAACAATCAATTACTAGTCGATTCATGCTCGTGTTTTCTGATGGCTCCTGCTAGACACATTCAAAGAAGCAAAAAAGATGAATGGCCAGTTTTCTCCTAGCAGTAGTTGGTTCCCTTAAAGGCAGCGATTACGATAAAGAGGAAGCGCATCGGGAAGCATGTGCACCACATGAAGCAGTTACTTGGCTGCCAGGAAGCGAGGTGTGGCGCTTTCACGACGAAAGGTGCGCTGGTTGCTGAGCAGGACTTCGAAAGCACTCCGCCCCCAAAAGCGATCCGCCCACTAGTTTAGTTGGTGATTTGGACGAGCTGCGTTGCCAGCAGCGGCACAACTGGAGCAACTCGATTGGAGCGTGGTTTGGCATGGTGCCACCAAACGCATTGCGGTGAACTCGTTCATACGACTTCTGAGCTGTTACCTGTTCATGAGTGGAACCAACGGCCAAAAAAGAGGGTCCCGTTTTGCGTTTTCTTGACGGATTTCTCTGCTTTTTCGCCACTGGCGTACCACTGAGCACCACCTCGTCTCTCTGAACCCTCCTACAAATGATCGTAACCGCTACCTTTAATATCTGAGCGATTTCTTCGCTGGTTGAGCTTGGTGCGAATGGCGATGATAAGTAAGTCAGCCTTCTAGCTCGTTATATATAGCAAAGATACCAGGTAGGAGGAGTCTGTGTGTGGGTGTAACCTCATTATATACATAAGTGCCTGTCCCTATACACACGTGCTGAGTTTTGGAACGCAGAATGTGGAAAGAGGCTTTCTTCTTGGGTTGTATTTCGTGGGCGGAGTGAAGGGCTGGGCTTAGTTACCAATTGCAGAACAGATTTCCCGTACGAAAAGGAACATAGTCAAATGAAATCTAGCCTCCATGATAAACAGTAACCATTTGTTATAGTTTCCGTCCGCTGATTTTGTAGTTCGATTGAGGATAATTACCATGATTCATGGGCTGGGCTGGAATGGTAGCCTTTATACGAAAGTGGCGCATGTCACTTAAAGGCACGCTCCGCGATCAGGCGGGCTCGCCTGTTCCATCCAGGGGGTAGTAGGCAGGTGGACAAGTGTTGATGTCGCGCCCCTTTTGCCGCTTGAAAGTGCGCGACAAAGGCGCAAGCAGCTCGTCCGACCCGCAACGCTTGGCACTGGAGCAAGTAGAGTTAGGTTCGTGAAACTCGTCCAATTCGCCTCTTCTCTATCCCAAGGTGGAATGTGGCTGAAATAGGGGAGGTCTCTGTACGGGGCGTAATCGGTGGTTTCGTTTGCTTTCCTTCTCTTTTACAGACCACCTCCCACCTATAGCTTCATAACTGAACGCTTTTCCACACCTATTTTATCCCGAATCTTGCCTTTAACTTGCATTCGACTCAGTGGCTTATATCCATTCTTCGGAATTGGTCTTACTTCTCATGCCTCACGGGTTTCTCGTCTGCAAGCGTGATCGTAAAAAAAACTCGTTTGGAACGGTGGATCTGTTCCCGAATGCCGGGTACCCGACACGAAGACCCGTCCTCGTTGAGAAGGCAAGTCGTGGAACGAGTCAGCGCGTGATGGGTGTAGGGCGTAAATGGCACATTCTACTTAACTTGACGCGAAATCAGTCCAATATGCGTTGTGACTTGTCCGCTGACTACTGCCTTCTTGCAGCGCGATGGCCTCCTGTCGGGTACCCCCCGAATGCCACGCCTTTCCCTACTTAATATTGTGAGAATTTTGAAATTTCAATATCACACGCGATTATTCCGGCTATTTTTATGATCTGTAGCATTTCCAGCGACTACACATCAAATGACACCATACTGCGGATGGTGTTGGAGTTGGGAGAATGTGATCTTGAAGCTGAGGTGAAAAAAAGTAATGGGAAGTTTGATGCGACCAACAGTGAGAGCGTACGCGCACGAGATTGGCAGGGGTATTCAGGAGATGCATGATCATGGTATGTTCCCTGTCGTTGTTCTTTTTAAGTTTAGAAATCCTCCAAATGACCTTTAAAATTTAGCCGTAATTCATCTTGATATTAAACTTGCGAATGTGCTCTTCATTCATGGTGCATTGAAAATTGTCGATTTGGGATTATCGGCCACTTTACGAGATAACGAGGTAGGTTTAACTATTGCAAAATGTTTCTGAAAGATTAGGAATGTAATCTACTCGC